AAAAGAGCATCTATTATATAATATCCATTTCTGATGTCGCCAATAATTAGAGATGCACCGAAATTCCGGCTGCCGATAATTAGTTCACCGCACTTTCACGTGGTGACGCTCTGCGTATTATCCGCCCTATGCGTGTGCGCTCCGCTCAGCTCCACTCGTATACCGTTCATGCTCATCGGAACAGCAAAGTCCACTCCAAAATTGAGCCGACAGGAAACATCTCTGTAGTACAGTATTGTTTCTGTCTGCAATAGCCCTACTGTGTTGTAACAAGGTGTGGTAAATGGGCAACTCTAGTAACGCTGCCTTCTCATTCATTGATCTGCTAACCGCTATGATGACAAGTTTGTTAAAATTTCCAAAGGGTGCCGCGACTAAAAAAAGGTTGGGAAACACTGACATACATGACTGAATATTGCTAAAACCAGTCCATTTGACAGTCTCACATTCTGGTTATTAACACAGAATAACCAGAATGTGTGTTTTACATGTCAGTGCCTTTTGTTTGGTTGCTACTTCTTCTGTTGTCTACCTTTCTTTTTCTCCTCTGGTCTCTTGTGGTTCTTCTTGTTGAGGATGGCACGCAGGCTGCTGCCCATGTAATACGGACGGAACACTGAGCCGTCGTTCTTCTCCAGATCAAGCACTGAGAACAGGAGCACAAGTAACATGAATGCCAACCAATCGTTCATGTGATTTTTGCATCAATGAGTATTTGCTGCTTAATATTTTTGTGGAAACAGTGATAAATTCTTTCAGGATTTTTAAACGAACAGAAAGTTTGAAATATAAATCTTTTGTAACATTATATATATATATATATATATATATATGTTTCTTGAGCACCAAATCAGCATGATTTCTGAAGGATCATGTGAAAATTCAGCTTTGCCACCACACGAATACATTTTAAAATATATTCAAATAATAAAATTCAAATATTTCATAATATTACTCTTTTAGAGACTTCTTTCAAAAACATTAAAAAAATAAAGCTTTGAGTGGCGTATATATAATTTTAAGCTGAGAATGTAGTGAATAATATTGATATTAAAATTTGTTAGCATTCTCAAAAAATGAAAGAAAACTAAGAAAAGAATCAAACCATTCATAATATTTAGTTCAGCTTTATTCTAATGGAAAAAAAACAATAATATTTTAACTTAACAATAATAAGACAACTTGTACTGAACTTCACAGAGTAGACGCAGCATCAAACCCGTCTACAAAATTACAAAAAATGGCTTTTATGTTCCTTTTATAAATTGAACTTGAAAAACTTTCAGATTGATTGCACAGTTACTAAATACTGTCATCAGAACACCTGAAAAATTCATAGATTCTATCAAAACATGGTTATAAGAGAATATACACTATCTATTAAGATTCCCCCATTACAATAGCATTCGCCATTAGATTAGACTATGACAAAATTAATATTACAATCATGTGGACTAAGAAATCAGTCAATCCATCCACATGCACATCAATGAACTGCATGAATTTATAAACCAAAAATGGCATGAAAACAAATGGGCTGTATAGAAAGAGTAGGATACTGCAAGATAAAGAGAGTAAATATATAGAATAACTTGCTTTCATCATTGGTTACCAGAGTATTATCAGACCTTAATTCAATTACTTTTCTCCAGAAGACAAACAATGGGTAAGGCAATGATGGACAGAATTACCAGCAAAAAGAAAAAGAGGGAAAAAAGTATGGGAAAAAATAGAGCAGGAGTCAGTCAGTATTAGCAGACAGTGCAGAGAGAAGATCCCTTCTGTTAATGCTATCTGATTCTATATCCCAGAAGGCCTTGCTGTGCTGTGGGAGAGATGCAGCGAGCTACAGTACTAGCGCTGTTCTTCACGTCCCACTGAGGTGACGGCTTCAGGACACAGCCTACTTTTTGCCTGCTTGATCAGTTTTGTCAAGTATCCTGTGCAGGCCTGGAGGCATGTTATATGGTTTGGAAGGACTGCCATCGTTCCTTTCAAGATCTTCACCTGAAGGGAGTCCCGTCAAACCAGATAACGGAAGAATAGAAGAGAAGGAGGAAAGACAGAGTGTTGCAAGGAAAAAGGGAAAAAAGAAATAAGAAAGCAGAGTTAGTCCGCAGTCATGCAGTTTGAAAAGAAGAAGTGAAAAGAATAAATACATAAAGATCACAATAGTATTTTAATTAGAGAAAAGAAGTGATCAAAGTCATGAAGAGAAAAGAAGAGGAAAGGTAAAGACCAGTGGGTGTGTACAGTATTCATCAAGAACAAAACCAGCTGTTTAAGTTGAAAACATCATGATGTTCAGCATTTATTACCAAACACACATATATGAATATTAAATCTGCAATAAGGTGTACTTACAGAAGCAGAGGAACAATGTATCTACACACATGGCATAGACGTTAAAGAACCCATGTGCAATCATATAGGATCCAAATATCACAGTCTGTGAATGGAAAAAAGATTAAAACAGAAATTAAATTAGAATAAATCAGCATTCCAACATACCTCGATAAATACAAATCGGTTATGTTTTTAAAGATAACAGCATTTTAGGCAGCACAGCAGGAAGCGTGTAAATGCATTGTGAGCACCTGCGACAAAGACAGATGAAAGAGCAGCACCATTATTCACAATGTATTCTACACTATTTTTACACTACCATTCAAAAGTTTGGGTAGGTATGATTTTTAAATGTTTTTGAAAGAAGTCTCTTATGCTCACCAAGGCTGCATTTATTTGATAAAAGTACAAATGTTTTCTATTTTAATATCTTTTAAAATGTAATTTATTCCTGTGATGGCAAAGCTGAATTTTCAACAGCTATTACAGTGTAATTTCTTATTATTAACATTGTTGAAACAGTCTTCTTAATATTTTTGTGGCAACTGTAATGCATTTTTTTCAGGATGAACAGAAAGGTCAAAAGAACAGCATTTATCTGAAACAGAAATATTTAGTAACAAATGTCTTTACAGTCAATTTTGATCAATTTAATGCATTCTTGCTGAAGAAGTTAAAATCTAAAATTAGAAAAGCCACAATTTCAAACATATAGCCAGTGTAGATAAGAATATTATAAATGTTTGAAGTATAAAATATGTTATAAAATATAATTCTTATTTTATTAAAACATTGTAATACAAGAACAATGTCAAGTGGAGGCATCACTGTGACCATCACTGATAATGAAAATGAGTCAAACTTTTGAAAATGAAAATGTGATTTATACCTTTCAGTTTGTGGTCGAGATACTCAAGAATAATCCGTACAAACTGTACAATGGACAGAATCAAAGCTCCAAACGCAAGAGAGCCTGTGTGATACCTGTACATGTAACATAACATGGTAATGTGATTACAGTGAACATTTAATTTCAGTCCTGCAGCTCTCCACTCACAGATGTAATCAATCATCTACAAGCTTCTAAGACCAGAAATGGCAACATACCTTAAAGCCCTGCCAAATGATGAAGCCAGCGGGCAAGGTGGGATGTCTGCTGGCTTCCTCAAGGCCCAGTAATACGAGGCAAAAGCCCCGGCAAGGGTGCACTGGCCCAGAGCAATGGTGAAATTCACCAGCCAGAGGAAGACCAGCAAATTGCAGAGCTGAAGAACAAATATATAACGGTGGTACAAACTCTCCCCACCGTAAAAAGCAAAGGTGCACTGGGAGCCCGGACACAGTTTAGTGACATTGGACTGACTGAAGGTCTGAAACACATCAAAGAGACACCAACATGACACAACTACTAAACTCAGAGTCAATATAAATGGACTTAATATTCAAATTTAGCACAATGAAAACCTGTACACTGTGTACACAGATTCCTGTATCTCAGATGATCACAGATTACAGTAGGGTAAGTTCTTACCTCTGGGTCACAGGTGAGGTTGGTATACTTGCAGTTGGGTAGCGTTGACATTACTTTATATACTGCATCACCAGATGATGCCAGGAACCTACAAGAAGTTGTGGTTAAGGAAAATACAATACAAACTAGTTAAGTAAAGCTAAAGTGTGCAGTTTCTTAAGTCATTCTGACATGTTTACATTTTTACATCTCTCAATTCTGTTTTTTTTTTCTGCCACAGAATAAAAATCGCTACTTTTTATCTCACAATTCTGACATTTCTTTTACTTGCAAATCTGAGTTTATATATCACAATACTGATTTTTCTTCTCAGAATTGCTCAGAATTCTGTTTATATATCTCACAATTCTGAGTTTATATCTCGTAATTCTCAGAATTGCAAGAAACAAGTTTGTGAGATAAAAAGTCAGAATTGCATGAAAATCTAAATCTGAATTGTAAGATTAAAAGTCACAATTACCTTTAAGGTTTTTTATCCTGAGGCAGAAACAAACGTCCATAAATTAAAAAGTTTTCAACTTCATTCAGCATTCAAATTAAATAGAAATTTGGATACACAGCTGTAACAGCCCAGTATGCAATACAAATAGCCAGAAGCAGGAAGGTGATGATGGGATAGAACAGTGTTGACATGATGCAGCCAATCGCCCTGTAGGAAAGAGAGAGAGATAACATGTAAAATAACATTTGACAGCTTTGTTCCAGGCCTTTTTCCATTCTTTCCAAGCACCACCATTAAACAGAAGAAAAAGAGAGAAAGGCAGAAAGAAACGTACTTGCTGCCCTCCTTTAGCAGAGCGATGGCAATACGAACTCTGTTCCGCAGGAATATCAGCACTAAGATGATGATAGCTTCAATGACAGCCAAGGAGATCACTGCGGTAAAATATCAAGCTGTCAGTCACTCCCATCAAACTGAACTTTTCATAACCTTCATCAGCTTGACAGTGCAGGTGCATTGCTTGGTTCGAGACGTATTATTTGATTTAAACTTCACTACAAACACTCATATTCTGGAATAACCGAAGAAATCTCACTGAATATGAGCCAGGTCTGACGCAGCTGCAAATAAACCCGGAAGTCAGTCTGGAATCCAATGTCTGAGATGGTGATGTCAGAGTCCGGCTTCCCCTTGAGTGAACTGTACTCCCAGTAACAATGCCATATTCCTGTAAGTGACAGTCAGGACACAGTGGATGAACCCATAGTGCAGAGACATTCACAAACTAACAAGCTGACACATCATTTAGTGTTAAAGCCAGTTATAAGACCAGGGTTTTATTTAAGTGAACATTTACTGCCTGAGAGTTCATGAGAGAACCAGATTAGTCTGATTCGTGAATGATTCATTCAGTTTTGTGAACTGGATCATTTGATTCACTGATAAGATCTGACTTAAGAAGACAAAAAGGACTTTTTGAAAATTGTGATTTTCTCAATATTTAGATTTTTTTGCACCCTCAGATTCCAGATATTCAAATAGTTGTATCTCAGCCAAATATTGTCCTATCCTAACAAACCATACATCAATTGAAAGCTTATTTATTCATCTTTCAGACGATGTATAAACCTCAGTTTTGAAAAATTGACACTTAAGACTGGTTTTGTGGTCCAGGGTCACATATGGTTTTAAAACAACATGAGAATGAGTATATTATATAACTTTTTTTATATATATTTTTGGATGACCTATCCCTTTAAGAAGTTAATGTTAAAGGGGACAACGGATGCAAAATTCACTTTTACATGGTGTTTGCATATAAATATGTCTTAGCAGTGTGTGGACACAGCCACCCTACAATGATAAAAATCCATTCACTTGTCTTTTTTTTAATCCCCAAAAAACCTAAACAGTCTTAATTATCAAGCTGTTTGATTTTCTGAGCAGTATGATGTCATGTTGCTCAGGCCCCGCCCACAACCGCTGATGGACTGTCCCGTATTTGCATATCTCCGCCCTCAGCCAGTTGTACGCTGTCCGCCATTTTCTCATAAGCATGCAGGTGTTTTGTAGTTGGATGTAAAAGTGAACATAAGAATCTTCATTTTCTCCCGACATCAGAGCCACTGAGGATGCAGTGGAATAGTTTTGTTTTTGATGGTAATGCGCCACCGAATACACCTAAATTCTTTTATGTCTGCGCAAATCATTTTACTCCAGACTGCTTTCTGAACGAGGGACAATTCAAGGCAGGTTTTGCTAAAAAGTTGAAACTCAAGGATGAATCAGTACCCACTGTTCATGATTCAGGTGCACCTCCAGAAGAAGTAAGTCTCACACTTTATATTTTATACGATTATTTGCAAATCACCTTTCCTCTTCCACAGAAGAGAGGGATGAGCAGTAACTCATTATCATTTAAAGAGACATGCACTGAAACGGGTCGCTGTGAACAGAGCTGTTTTTGGCAAGGTAAAAACGGTGTTGTTTTACACGACCACTGAGGAATTTTAACCAAAGTACATTGCAGACATTTCATGAAGACCCTAAAGAATCATACCAACTTGTGGAAAATGGCCATCTGATGTCCCCTTTAAATTTAGTAGCCTATATCGGAGTTTAGTTTTTAAGTATTGGTATTTAGTATTCTGTAGTCATTACCAACCATAGCCCACAGCTGCGATGACCCCGAAGATGACCATCCAGAAGAGAATGCCAGCGGTGAACCTCAGCAGCAGAATGAAGATCAGACTGACCAGCATACTTATCACCAGACCACTGAAAACACCCATAAACCACAGATCAGCTACACCTATCAATATGCTGCATTTCTTCAAGGTCAAAAAATGATGTTATACATACATTAGGATCCAAAACCACGAGCTGGCGTAATCCTCAAAGATCTTAATGCCCTATTTCTTTGCATCCATCTCCGCCCTCAGCCAGTTGTACGCTGTCCGCCATTTTCTCATAAGCATGCAGGTGTTTTGTAGTTGGATGTAAAAGTGAACATAAGAATCTTCATTTTCTCCCGACATCAGAGCCACTGAGGATGCAGTGGATTAGTTTTGTTTTTGAAGGTAATGTGCCACTGAATACATCTAAATTCATTTATGTCTGTGCAAATCATTTTACTCCAGATTGCTTTCTGAACGAGGGACAATTCAAGGCAGGTTTTGCTAAAAAGTTGAAACTCAAGGATGAATCAGTACCCACTGTTCATGATTCAGGTGCACCTCCAGAAGAAGTAAGTCTCACACTTTATATTTTATACGATTATTTGCAAATCACCTTTCCTCTTCCACAGAAGAGAGGGATGAGCAGTAACTCATTATCATTTAAAGAGACATGCACTGAAACGGGTCGCTGTGAACAGAGCTGTTTTTGGCAAGGTAAAAACGGTGTTGTTTTACACGACCACTGAGGAATTTTAACCAAAGTACATTGCAGACATTTCATGAAGGCCCTAAAGAATCATACCAACTTGTTTAAAACGGTCATCCAATGTCCCCTTTAACGACTCATCCCTGTTATCAAGAGATCCTAAAACAAGGTTCCTTTGTACATTGGTCCATCATCGTTTTGGGAGGCCGTTTAGTCATTTAACAAGGGAATACCAGATCGCTTTAGGGAACCCAACTGTTTCTTTAACCTCCTGTTCAGTTCTCCCATTGTTCATCTCTTCTTCTGGTCTCTGAGTTCTAATGCCAGCAGTGAACCTCAGCAGCAGAATGAAGATCAGACTGACCAGCATACTTATCACCAGACCACTGAAAACACCCATAAACCACAGATCAGCTACACCTATCAATATGCTGCATTTCTTCAAGGTCAAAAAATGATGTTATACATACATTAGGATCCAAAACCACGAGCTGGCGTAATCCTCAAAGATCTTAATGCCCACTTCCTTTGCATCCAAAAGGCTGGTGATGCCACTGTAAAAGCAAGAAAACAGTCAAAAAATTATATAAACTGCACATCAACTTTACTGAAAGTACAGAGCAGTTTATGGGGAGGTTTATGTCTCTCTCTCATAAACATGCCACATACAGTCCATTCTTCATTCATCTAAGAAGCAAACTACAGCTGGTTATTACAGCTCTACAGAGGTCAGGTCGATGTTTCACACAGGTGTTACCAGATGTTTCACACAAGTGTTACCGCCGGTCTAAGAAAACAGTGGAGGTGAAGGGTTAAAGAACTTAGTCAAAGTTATTAAATATGGCGCAACTGAAAATGATGCTGTGAGGGACAGAAGTACAGTCAGTGCAGTGTCAAAACTGTCTAAAAGGTCATTAGTCATGTAATTTTCTTAATGTTTAAAGAGAAAAAAGTAGAACAGATGAATATTGCTGCAAAAAAAAAATGCAGTGCAGACACCTGCACAGGAACTCAAAGAATCATATGAATGATTCATATGAGAGCACGAGTCTGCAAAAAAAAAAAATATATATATAATTAATTAAATGCACTATACTGAAAACAGCTCAACTACTTTCATCACACAGAGAAGTTTTAGATGAATGGAGGAGATCTCTGTGTCCCAATTTTTACAAATGCATTTTAAACTCCTACACTTGCTGAAAACACAATCAATATAGTTCCTGTACAAAACAACATTGCGATGACATTAAGTCACATCTTCCTCACTTCCGTTTGCCATTATATTCTTCAGAAGAGAGACATCTGAAAGGCAGAGGGATTTTGTCAGTGACCTCAGTTCTGACGAGGGGAAAAAAACATCCAGAGATGTGTTTTTTCTGTACTAGAGATTCTTTGAGAGGCTGCAGGTGCAGAATGTGTGGTGAGGGAGGTTAGTTTGTAGATAAGCGAAGGACAAGGTCAAATTTCAAAGCTGACAAGAAATGGAGACCTTTCTGTTCCTTGCTGCATAGCTGTAACTTTGCTACAAAAAAGAAGCATTGAGAATGTTACAAAAGACACACATGAAGCAAAACTCTTGGCTTTCTGCAATCAGGTAAACAGTTGTAAAAAAAGCATCTTTAGATTAGAGCATACAAGTGCCCGGTTTTGTGAGTGAAACTCCAAAAGTACAATTGGTTAGGGCCTGTTCACACAGGACACATTTGTGCATTAAATAACAGCTAGATGGAAAAAGCTGAACTACTTGTAACTAATTTTACTTTGTAGCCTGCCAAAATAAGAAAATACCCTGTGTGACCTTTCACCCACGGCGTTTAAATCAGTGCTATTATGGCAGCAGCAAACTCATGCAAACATGCATAGCTTGACTTATTTGCTTCTCTCTGACCTTTTGTAAGACCAAATGTCATACCCAGATAAAATTGTCCTCTCTTGCCTGGATGGGAAGACAGCATATTGAGGAAGAAATGTTGGAAATAACTGTATTATTTGTTTACCTTCTGTATTTACGAGGTCAAATGCACATATTTTTAATATCAAGACGCAGTTCCTTTCAAAAGTCAGGGGTCAGGTGTTTTTTTGGAAAGGAAATAATACTTTTATTCAGCAAGGATACATGAAATTGATTAAAAAATAAAACAGTAAAGACGTATAATATTATATATAAAAAAAAAGTTTTAAATAAATTCTGGTCCTTTGATCTTTCTATTAATCAAAGAATCCTTTCGAAAACATTAAAAAATCTTACCGAGCCCTAACGTTTGAATGGTAGTGTACACCCACTTAAAATCTGACTCATACAACTAAAACGGAAACTGAGAGCTCCAACAGAAGAGCATTCATTAATTATTAATCATTGTATCTAATTAGGAAGAGCTGAGTGATTTTATGCAGGGCAAAATATATTTTTAGACTCGTATATATGGGATAATGTACTGTATAGTTAGCCAGTTGTTGCCGCAAAATAAGCACTGACAAGGTGATCAGGACCCTGATGTAAAGCAAAGGAGTTTATTTTCCATGAGCAACCAACTGACTGTATATTCTCCCACTTAAAACACAGCTACTTAACCAAATACATATTAAATTAGACATGAAATATTAAACTTAAGATGAAATTATTTTATTATGGAAGAAGACAGAGACTGCAGAGTGATACAAGTGAAACTAACACTGGTTTAAAATTATATGCTATATAATTATGTAGTAAATTATATAATTTAGTGCCATTATATAATAATATTTGACCACAGAATGGCGTGTGAAATTAAAGTTGATATTTAAGAAACACTGTCATAACTAAATTCATATGTCAAACTCAAACCAAGCCAGCATGGCTGTTTTGGCTTGCCTAACTAGTCTTCATATTCAAGTTACACTGAATGAGAGCAATTTTGAAGCCATACAGACAATGCAGCATCAATATAACATATACTAAACAGGCTGGTAGAACACTTTTTTTAAGCTGTAGTCTTATATGGGTGCTTCGTGCTAAGCACTACTAAGAAGTGAACTTACTTTGCTGCATCTCTCAGATCGACGACACTTCTGATTTTACCGTGTCCATCTTTGAAGCTTGTTTGGTTGGCAACAGTTAATGTCCCGTTTCTAGTGATGAAATCGGGAAAGCACCTCTGGAGAACTGATGGAATAGCAAAAAATAAATAAAAAATAAAAATCCCACTTAATTTTTAAGTATTTATAAGCTGTTGAGGACATGCTTTGTGTCCGTCTGCTCATTTATCTCCAAGGCCTGAATTTCTGAGGTGATAAGCAGCAGCTATCCAAGGGTTTCATATCATTCTGTGCCTCCTTTGCAGATATGGAGAGGATGCAGTGACCTTCTCAGGTTTGGCAGAGACGTTTTCTCTCTTTCTATCTCTTATATTATTCACAATGTTAACATCAAAACAGATATGCTGGCTTCAAAGAGATACAGTGCACTGTAAAAAATAAGTGTAATTTTAACTGTAAAATTTTTTAAAAACGCTATGGAAAAAAACTGTTAATAGGTTAACAGTAAGTTCCCGTACTATATACAGGGAAAAACTGTAAAATATCTAACCAGACATTTCATGTCATTTTACAGTAAAATGCTGTTAATTTTACAGTTTTTAGAAGTAAAAATAACAAATCAATGTATAATTTACAGTCAAAAACTGTAAACTGATATTCCCAGAATTCCCTGCATGACACTCCACATTTGAAAATATTTTGTTTAAATAATCATGTTTTTTTAAAGTTTTTGTTATTAGTTATGTATATTTGGGCTTTATGTTACATCTTCTGTTGTTTAATGAAAGTTGAATGCATTATTTAAGTATCATGTGTGTTACCATGATTGTGTTTTGTGTTTGCATGAATGACTCTGTGCACCTTCTATATATTAGTATATACTTCTATGAAGGTAGAATGACGTCAAAAAGATTTGCATACGCAGGGTAATATTTGTGGAAGTGTACATAAGACTGTAAGCATAAATTAAATTTGCATGCGCAAGAGAAGCTTTGTAAAGGTGTAAATCGCGTTTCAAACGCAAGAAAAAATTATTTGCAGCATTTTACTGTTATTCGTAAGTGTAATTAATGTATTGTGAAACTGCAGCTTCATGCTAACGCAAAATAAATATGATCTGCATGCTTCTGACTTCCATTTTTCCGCGCTTACGCTTTTGGCACGTTTTTTTTGCCAAAAGACGGTCAAAAGCACTGCAAGCCTGTGAACAGTGATTTGCAAGCGAAAACAACAGTTTAAAGAACTGCAAAACGGATTGACTGCATAGAACCAATCTGTATGTGTAAAAAAACTAACTGTTGCAAATGTCTAAATGACTTGTTGTGTATGTGGGGCAAAAAGTTCCCGAAATAAACCGATATGTACAGCTCCATCTTTCTTTTCTCTGCGCTTACAATT